GTTCGTTGCACTGATTTCTGAGCTGGTCTCACGTTGACGGTGTTGACGGAGGGTGTCGATCGCAGCAGCGTCTTTCTGTTTATCACATCTTTATTTTTACTTTGCAGCACCATTGCAGCTTAAACTCAGCTTCAGAGGAAGAATGTCTTTCTTGCTGTCACAGTTTATGGACGGTTTCACTGCTCTCTGTTGTAATATTTCAGACACTGACGGGTTTAAGCAGGACACAGAGATCCATATGTCACACCTGTAGGTCATGTGATGTCTTTATAGCGTGAAAGACGAGACTGTGGCTTGTGGCACACGTGTTGTTTTGATGTGTTGCATCTCAGCAGAGTGCAGGGAGGTGTTGAAGTTGTGGAAAATCAGTTCATCACACTGATATCTTGGTTTAAATCACAAGCTGGTTGACGGTGTTATCGGAGGGTGTCGACTGCAGCAGCATCTTTCTGTTAAAACACATCTTTATTTTTATTTTCTGCCTCCGTCTCTCTGCTTTCTTTGCATCTGCTCTCGGATGATTTCTTCTAAAGTCTCCTGACATGTCTACTTACTGATGTGTTCAACTTTACAGATGTGTCACTTTGAATTCAGCCAAAAAATATAAATAAAACTGCAAAATTCTAATTTCTCATAAGCTTATTGTAAGAAATACCTGTAGAGCTTGCTCAAAATTCAATTAATCTTGCAAGTTCTTTACATTGCAATGTCAAGCACCCTGGTTTGACTTACACTCTGAATTGGTGCTTTATAAATAAAACTGTAAACTTTAGCTGCAACCGTATAGTTTGATTTTTATCTTCAACTGGCTGAATTGACAGTGAATTTTTCTGGTTTCCCACAAGCATCAAAAGAACTTTTATCTTTAGCTTCATAGATGACGCAGCATTTAATTACATTTTCAAACAGTCTTGTGAAAATAGAAAGCAGCGTGAACTCAAACACTGGAACCACCGTGAACCTGCTGCCGGAAGTTGATTAATGACACGACCAATTCATCGCCATGAGTCATGATCGCTCACTTACTGATATGACTGAAGGCACTGCCACAACTCATTCAGCCTTTAGCAGGTTTTTGTTCTTAAAAAAAAAAAGAAAGACTTCCGGCCGGAGCATCGATCGGGACTGTAAGACTTTATCAGATGGATCTTATCAGACTGAGGTGAGCAGCTCCGATAACATCAAAGAAACACAGAAACTTTTACACGTCTTTAAGGCAGAACATCCTCAACAACAGCCTCCTACCGCGTAAACATTTGATGCGGACCGATAACGAGACATATGCTTGTGGGAAAACTTTTTTCTGTTTCCTCTTCCAGCCTGTCCTCTCCTCACTTTTTCTGCCTTCTCTCTTCCTCCTTCTCCCTCCTCCTTCTCCTTCTTCCCCCCCTTCAGTAAAACCATCAAAGTGAAAGTAATTGACGACGAGGAGTACGAGAAGAACAAAACCTTCTACATAGAGATCGGAGAGCCTCGCCTGGTGGAGAGCAATGACACCAAAGGTCAGGAGGAGGGTGAGCCTCGTCGACCCCACGTGACCCCGGAGCGCCTGGACGCTGCATGTTCTCGCCACATGGGAGGAGGTTCCGCCTCCTCGCCGTGACGGTGAACATGCAGCAGGCTGCAGGTCACCTCATCTCACCACATCCGCCGCTCCGCCCTGTGTGTGTGTGTTTGTGTGCTTTTTGTGTAATGCCATGTTGTGTTGTTTTTCCATGCATGCATTCACCACCTCCCTCTGTGTGTGTGTGTGTGTGTGTGTGTGTTGTCCCATACAGGAAGACCATAACCGTTAGGATCTTAAACCGGGAGGAGTACAATAAGCAATCCTCCTTCTTCGTTCTGCTCCAAAGCCCCGAGTGGAGACGCAGCGGGAAGGAACGGACAGGTGTGACGACCAATCGGCGCTGAGAAACGGGTCTTGAATCAACAGGCCGTTCACGCAACAAGAACACAGCTTTTACCTCGTTGTTTAGTTCAGTCTTTTCGTGCTAACGACCGCCGCTGCACAGAGTAAATAAAGGAGGATTTCTTGCTGCATACTTGCTCTAAACAGGTTTTGAAGATGCAAAAACATGATGACGATGGAGCAGCCAGGACAATTAAAACTAATCGTGACTCAGAATGTTTTGCACTTAAATTAGTTTGAATTAGTTTTAATGATGGTACAAGCAGTATTTTTACATTTTAGAGCAATTTCTGCTCCACTATCGCTGATTTTACAGGATAAAATATGGATATTTATGAAGATATTTGTTAAATTTCAGCTTTACATGTATAATAATTTGAAGAAATATCTATTTTTTCAACATTCCCATCAAACCACAGTTAAAGCCTGACATTTCCACAGTTATTTCTCATCATGTATCATCTAATCAGCCAACCTACAGACTGTTTGATCTATTTGTTCAATCTTACAGATTCTAAATCAGTGACATGATGAGAAATAACAGTGAACATTTCAGGCGTTTGTCTTTAATAGTTCCTGAGATGTTGTCGTTCAAACGCGGCCTCGAATTTCAATTTGCAGAAAAAATTTGCTAAATATGGGTCGACAGGCGATTTATAAAAGTATTTTATTCATCAATCTAAAATTTCAGAGATGCTGTTTTATCATTGAGCTGAAGATTTGATGGATTAATTTATAGATTAGCCTGTAGATAAAGACTATTTTCATTAATTGTCTGATTGTTTTCCGTAGAACTGATTCACTGCTTCATCTTTATCATGTTTAAAAGCAGCACATCTTCACATTTGAGAGGCTAAAACCAGAGACATTTAGACACTTTGAATTGATAGCACAAGCATTTTTAAACTATCATGTGACCTTATTGTTAACATGAAACCAAACTTCATAGAGACGTCATGAAAGTGACGTTAATTGAGTTTAATCAGACTGCATTAGAGTGCACAGTGTATAGTTATTATGTAGTGTTGAATTGAGACACATTTAGGAGCAAAACTTACAGAAATCCAAACTTTAACATAAGAAAAGTCCTGGAAAAATAGCATTTGATTATCAGGTGTTGAGCGTATTGGAGACACAGGAGTTGCTGCAGCACATTTCCAGCCTGAGACTCTCATCGACTTTACACATTTTTTGCAGAAATCTCCAAAACTAGAGACAAAAGAAAACTTGTTAGAGGACATCACGCAATAGCTGTGATGCTGTTGTCTCAGCAGCGTGGATCATATTAAATTCATGCAGCATCTAATCTGATAACAGACCAGAGCACTTTACAGTCGGCAGGAAGAAAAACCAAAACAGCTGCAACACCGAGAAACAAAATCAAAGCATCGATTGAGCTCAAGCTCGCTCTTGTTTCAAGCGGCCTGTTGATTTAGGATCCAGTCTGACAACACATGGAGCCGTTCTGCTGCTCCTTGCTCTACTGTTTGGGTTTTCCCGTACTTTATTTTTCCTCCACTTTTCCTCCTCTGCTTCTCTTCAGAGGCACAGTGAGGATCACACCTGTCCTCTCCGTTCTTCCTTTACCTCCGACCTGCTCTGTTCCTCCTTCATCCAGTCGAGAGCTTCATGGTTTCAGAAAATGTCACGTCTGCCTTCAAAGTGTTTGCATGCAGCTGGATTACGGATTGTTGGAACATTAAGTTAAACCCAAGAAAGTATTTTCTGTCACTCGTGTAAATAACGTTCACGCACAGCTCGACTAAATATCACTCCCAAGTTAAAATCTTTATTCCGTCCCATGGGAAACTATTTTCTACAATATTATCAGCGTCTGTGTTTCTCTGGAATATTTTCTTTAAGATAGCACGCCCATGGAGAAAGATAGCACGAGATAGCATCAAAATCTGAAGCCAGCCGTCCCTGTTTCCCGTTTTTTTTCCTTCCTGAGCCGCGTAAACTGTTTAAAGATCCGCTGGATTGTCTGGAAAACACACACCGAAGCTCGTGAAGCGTTAACATTTCAGAGATGCCCGGTTTGCACAGAGGAGCTGCTGTTTGCAAACAACAATCTTCAATCTCTTTTCCCAACCAGTAAAAATGGAAATACAAAAAAAGCTACTTCACTAAACTGCTGGTCAAGACAATAATAATGATTTAGCCACATAACACAGAGATTAAAGCAGATTTAAGTTAAAGATGTGGCCTTTAACCCTCTGAAAGCTGAAGCTGCTTCTGCCACATCTTCACTCACTCTGGACTCTTTGTCACTTCAACATAAAGTCGTGCATCACTATTAAAACAGCACAACCACAAGGTCAGAAGTAAAGAGGACTCAACATGAACAGCATTTTTCCACAAGTGTTTATCAATGCTGGGAGAAAAGAAGCGACCCTTAGTGATACAGTTATTTGTCTCCTGTCTACTCCTATTTGTTTTGCGTAAAAAGAAACCAAAACAAAACAAAAAAACACAACATTTTGGCCAAATAGTTGCTGAATTTTTGTCACATGACTGTTGCTCACAGCTGAGTCCCCAACATCTCTGTGGCTGCACCGACGAGCCCAGAATTTTTGTATTTTAACAGAATGTATTTAATCGAAACTATTGATCATTGGCGAATTCTTAAATGAGATGTGTGGACTAAATAGATTTAGATTAAAATCATGATTTTAAGTTTAGATTTCATTGATTTTTTTCAAATGAAACAGCACATTACACACGAGTAGTTCAAGGACAATTGGAAAGTTGAAAACTCATAAATTATTTCTGCTTTTACAGTTTCTGGTTCTGATAAATGGTGTAATTTTGCTGATTATTTTTTAACCTTATTCAGGACTTTCATGTTTCCATACGTGTAAAATATTTGTTGGGATTCATTCTAGACTTTTATACTATGTTAAATAAATTATCTGATAAGTTGACGTATTTTTGGTTCCAAATGCACGACAAATGTCCTTATTTTTATATTTTTTTAAAATCTACAAAATAAAAAGACCAATACCTGCCACCTAAACCACATGGCTTGAGGTCCAAAAGACCCTAAAAAGTCCTGAAGAGGGTTAAAGACGACGTTCTTTGAAACCTTCCAGCAAGTTTCAGGGTTCAGACGGTTAAATTTTATTATTATTAATGTGTGATGAGCGTACGATGGACATTGTCTTCTGTGTTATTTAAATCACAAATGACAAAATATGAAAAAAAATAAAGTTTTCTGTAGCTAGTTGTTGTGTTGCACCGCTGTGTGGCACTTTATTAGCAAGTAAGTTTACAAATTAATGCATTTAAAACAATCGTTTCCACCTTTCTTATTTACTTACAGCCATTTAAAATTTCCTATTAGTATCTCAAACATAATGCCGTTATGATTTACTGCCAGTTTAAATGCACTTATATCGTTTGAGTGTGTTTGACCTCAACCAGATGTTGAATCTGTTTCCCATCGACTCGTCCCTGCTGCACATCTCCCTCCTGTTCCACTACAGCGTCATAGCAACACAATGAGGGATTTTCCACCTCTTATTTAGTGCTTTTCAAATAATTATGCATTTTTATATGAACTGTGACTCAATTAGCAGCTTACCAACATGCATGTTAATAAGTTGAAGCTAAACGAGTCTGTTTCTGTCTTCAGGTCGCGTCTAAAAGGAGCTTTATGCTCTTAAACTCACTTCAGCTGTTGTGGGTGGAATCATTAAAAGTAGCTCTGTCTTTGTCACACGCACACACACACACACACACACACACACACACACACACACACACGGAGAGCGGCGCTATCAGCGTGTTAATGGCAGCATGTGTTTACCAGGCATCAGCGCTGTTTATAGTGATGAGGGGATCAAAGACGAGGGCTGGATATCACATTATCACAGTCAGGAGATCAAACACACCTCCGGGATACACACACACACACACACACACACACACACACACACACACACACACACACACACACACACAGTTTAGAGGCTGCAGCGGGTTTGTGTGTTTAATGAGTGTGTTTTATGAACTGATGCGGTGGTTCTCTGTGCTAAATGAGCCCTGCATGGATTTTTATGGCCCTGGTCCATTACTGTGTGTGTGTGTGTGTGGGTCTGAGCAGGTGTGTGTTTGTGCATGTTCTGTATGTGTGTCAGTCTGTTGTTTATGTGCGTATACGAGTGTGTGTTTGAGATGGAAGGGTTTTCTAAAATCCTAACATTTGCAGTGAAATAACAGAAAAAACGACCATTTTAACCAACATGCTGCAGCTTCCTGATGATTTTTAAATGCTTTTCATTAATATTTCACTAATTAGGTCATTTAGTTTACTTTTACTTTCATGCAAAACTTGTTTTTTGTCATTTTAAGTTGCTTCCAGCTTAGAATTTGGATCTTTTTAAATCTCTATAAATGCTGCTTGAAGATATTTGAGATAATAATATCAAATGTTAGATGTTTGGACATTTATTGCAGCTCATGTGTAACGACTGCATCAGTCCACAGCAGGAAAAGTGTTATTTTTAAACACAAAAGCCTGTAAAATTGTGAGAATCTTACTTTTATTCGGGGCTATTATTGAGGTAGGATTTGAGAAACATGTAGAACAACTGGAGCTTTGTGCTGAGTGTATTTTAAACCAAACTTCTCCTAAACTTAACAAAGTTTGTAGCTTGAACAAAAGCCACTGAGAGCAGCAACAGAAAATGAGCATCGCCTGCAAGTGAAAGCACCACAACATAATGGTCTTTGTGCAGACTTTAGTGCTGTTTTTATGTGTAAAGTGAAAGAAACTCGTGTGATGTGGAGTTCGAAAGTCAGATAACTTCATACTGTGAGTACATGTGATTTACTGGGTAGTAAAGGACTCACAAACTAATCTAATAAATACTTGGTTGTATAAGTAAAGCAGCAGAGATCCTAACTGCAGCATGTGTTGGATTTAAAAAGAAAACAAGTTTCTGTGTGATTAAGATCAAAACCGAGAACAGCAGAGG